ACTGCAACTCGCTGTTGGCTGGGCTCCCTGCCTGTGCCATTAAACCCCTACAACTCATCCAGAATGCCGCAGCCCGTCTGGTGTTCAACCTTCCCAAGTTCTCTCACGTCACCCCCCTCCTCCGCACACTCCACTGGCTTCCAGTTGAAGCTCGCATCCGCTACAAGACCATGGTGCTTGCCTACGGAGCTGTGAGGGGAACGGCACCTCTGTACCTTCAGGCTCTGATCAGTCCCTACACCCAAACGAGGGCATTGCGTTCATCCACCTCTGGCCTGCTGGCTCCCCTTCCTCTGCGGAAGCACAGCTCCCGCTCAGCCCAGTCAAAACTGTTCGCTGCTCTGGCACCCCAATGGTGGAACAAGCTCCCTCACGACGCCAGGACAGCGGAGTCACTCACCACCTTCCGGAGACATTTGAAACCCCACCTCTTTAAGGAATACCTGGGATAGGATAAAGTGTTCCTTCTAACCCCCCCCCCAAATTGTAAAGTGGTTATCCCACTGGCTATAGGGTGAACGCACCAATTTGTGAGTCGCTCTGGCTAAGAGCGTCTGCTAAATGACGTTAATGTGCCCTTGAGCAAGGCACTTAACCCTAATTGCTCCTGTAAGTCGCTCTGGATAAGAGCGTCTGCTAAATGACTAAAATGTAAATGTAATGGTGCTCTGGGAGGGGTTAGGATATAGGGGGAGTGTGGTGCTCTGGGAGGGGTTAGGATATAGGGGGAGTGTGGTGCTCTGGGAGGGGTTAGGAGTTAGGGGGAGTGTGGTGCTCTGGGAGGGGTTAGGAGTTAGGGGGAGTGTGGTGCTCTGGGAGGGGTTAGGAGTTAGGGGGAGTGTGGTGCTCTGGGAGGGGTTAGGAGTTAGGGGGAGTGTGGTGCTCTGGGAGGGGTTAGGAGTTAGGGGGAGTGTGGTGCTCTGGGAGGGGTTAGGAGTTAGGGGGAGTGTGGTGCTCTGGGAGGGGATAGGAGTTATGTGGAGTGTGGTTTTATTAGAAGGATTAGGGTTAGGAGTTAGGGGGAGTGTGGTTTTATTAGAAGGATTAGGGTTAGGAGTTAGGGGGAGTGTGGTCCTATGGAAGGGGATAGGAGTTAGGGGGAGTGTGGTGCTCTGGGAGGGGTTAGGAGTTAGGATATAGGGGGAGTGTGGTGCTCTGGGAGGGGTTAGGAGTTAGGGGGAGTGTGGTGCTCTGGGAGGGGTTAGGAGTTAGGGGGAGTGTGGTGCTCTGGGAGGGGTTAGGAGTTAGGGGGAGTGTGGTGCTCTGGGAGGGGTTAGGAGTTATGTGGAGTGTGGTTTTATTAGAAGGATTAGGGTTAGGAGTTAGGGGGAGTGAAGATCTCTGGGTGTGGTTAGGATTTAGGGGGAGTTTGGCGCTATGTGAGGGGTTAATTGGAGCTTTTTACTATGGGAGGGGTTAGGGTTAGGAGAAAAAGTGTTGCTATGGATAGAACGGCTGACTCCGGTAAGACAAGGGCTGGTGCACAAAATAAAATACTAAGGAAGTCTCGAGGTTTTGCTCGCCTGAGGTAGAGTATCTTATGATAAGCTGTAGACCACACTATTTACCAAGAGAGTTTTCATCTATATTTTTCATAGCTGTCTATTTACCACCACAAACCAATGCTGGCATTAAGATTGCACTCAATGAGCTGTATAAGGCCATAAGGGAACAGGAAAACGCTCATCCAGAGGCAGCGCTCCTAGTGGCCGGGGACTTTAATGCAGGGAAACTTAAATCCGTTCTACCTCATTTCTACCAGCATGTTAAATGTGCAACCAGAGGAAAAAAAACTCTAGACCACCTTTACTCCACACACAGAGACGCATACAAAGCTCTCCCTCGCCCTCCATTTGGCAAATCTGACCATAACTCTATCCTCCTGATTCCTGCTTATAAGCAAAAACTAAAGCAGGAAGCACCAGTGACTCGGTTAATAAAAAAGTGGTCAGATGATGCAGATGCTAAGCTACAGGACTGTTTTGCTAGCACAGACTGGAACATGTTCCGGGATTCTTCAGACAGCATTGAGGAGTACACCACATCAGTAACTGGCTTCATCAATAACTGCATCGATGTTGTCGTCCCCACAGTGACCGTACGTACATATCCCAACCAGAAGCCATGGATTACAGGAAACATCCGCACTGAGCTAATGGGTAGAGCTGCCGCTTTCAAGGAGCGGGACTCTAACCCGGACGCTTATAAGAAATCCCGCTATGCCCTCTGACGAACCATCAAACAGGCAAAGAGTCAATAGAGGACTAAGATTGAATCGTACTACACCGGCTCTGACGCTCGTCGGATGTGGCAGGGCTTGAAAACGATTAGAGACTACAAAGGGAAGCACAGCCGCGAGCTGCCCAGTGACACAAGCCTACCAGAAGTGCTAAACCACTTCTACGCTCGCTTCGAGGCAAGCAACACTGAAGCATGCATGAGAGCACCAGCTGTTCCGGATGACTATGTGATCACGCTCTCCGTAGCCGATGTGAGTAAGACTTTTAAGCAGGTCAACATTCACAAGGCCGCAGGGCCAGACGGATTACCAGGACGTGTACTCCGAGCATGTGCTGACCAACTGGCAAGTGTCTTCATTGACATTTTCAACATGTCCCTGACTGAGTCTGTAATACCAACATGTTTCAAGCAGACCACCATAGTCCCCATGCCCAAGGACTCTAAGATAACCTGCCTAAATGACTACCGACCCGTAGCACTGACGTCTGTAGCCATGAAGTGCTTTGAAAGGCTGGTCATGGCTCACATCAACACCATTATCCCAGAAACCCTAGACCCACTCTAATTTGCATACCGCCCCAACAGATCCACAGATGATGCAATCTCTATTGCACTCCACACTGCCCTTTCCCACCTGGACAAGAGGAACACCTACGTGAGAATGCTATTCATTGACTACAGCTCAGCATTCAACACCATAGTGCCCTCAAAGCTCATCACTAAGCTAAGGATCCTGGGACTAAACCCCTCCCTCTGCAACTGTATCCTGGACTTCCTGACGGACCGCCCCCAGGTGGTAAGGGTAGGTAACAACACATCTGCCACACTGATCCTCAACACGGGGGCCCCTCAGGTGTGCGTGCTCAGTCCCCTCCTGTACTCCCTGTTCACCCATGACTGCATGGCCAGGCACAACTCCATCACCATCATTAAGTTTGCCGACGACACAACAGTGGTAGGCCTGATCACCGACAACGATGAGACAGCCTATAGGGAGGAGGTCAGAGACCTGGCCGTGTGGTGCCAGGATGACAACCTCTCCCTCAACGTGACCAAGACAAAGGAGATGATTGTGGACTACAGGAAAAAAAAAGAGGACTGAGCACATCCCCATTCTCATCAACGGGGCTGTAGTGGAACAGGTTGAGAGCTTCAAGTTCTTTGGTGTCCACATCACCAACAAACTATCATGGTCCAAACACACCAAGACAGTCGTGAAGAGGGCACGACAAAGCCTATTCCCCCTCAGGAGACTGAAAAGATTTGGCATGGGTCCTCAGATCCTCAGAAAAATTCTACAGCTGCACCATCGAGAGCATCCTGACTGGTTGCATCACTGCCTGGTATGGCAACTGCTTGGCCTCTGACCGCAAGGCACTACAGAGGGTAGTGCGTACGGCCCAGTACATCACTGGGGCCAAGCTTCCTGCCATCCAGGACCTCTATACCAGGCGGTGTCAGAGGAAGGCCCTCAAAATTGTCAAAGACTCCAGCCACCCTAGTCATAGACTGTTCTCTCTGCTACCGCACGGCAAGCGGTACCGGAGTGCCAAGTCTAGGTCCAAAAGACTTCTCAACAGCTTCTACCCCCAAGCCATAAGACTCCTGAACAGCTAATCATGGCTACCCGGACTATTTGCACTGCCCCCCCACCCCCACCCCATCTTTTTACGCTCCTGCTACTCTGTTAATTATTTATGCATAGTCACTTTAACTCTACCCACATGTACATATTACTTCAACTACCTCAACTAGCCGGTGCCCCCGCACATTGACTCTGCACCGGTACCCCCCTGTGATAGCCTCCCAAATGTTGTTTTATTTTACTTTTTTATAAAAAATAAATGCACTGTTGGTTAAGGGCTTAGTAAGCATTTCACTGTAATGTCTGCACCTGTTATATTCGGCGCATGTGGCCAATACAATTTGATTTGATTTGATTTGATGGAGGGTTAGGAGTTAAATTGAGTTTGGTGCTATGGGAGGGTTAGGAGTTAGGGGGAATGTGGTGATATGGAGGGTTAGGATTTAGGGGGAATGTGGTGATATGGAGGGTTAGGAGTTAGGGGGAGTGTGGTGATATGGAGGGTTAGGAGTTAGGGGGAATGTGGTGATATGGAGGGTTAGGAGTTAGGGGGAGTGTGGTGATATGGAGGGTTAGGAGTTAGGGGGAGTGTGTTGCTATTGGAGTGGTTAAGCGGAGTTTGGTGCTATGGAACTGTTTAGGGTTAGGGTTAGGGAGGGACTAGGAGTTAGGGGTAGTGTGGTGATATTGGAGGGGTTAGGATATAGGGGGAGTGTGGTGCTATGGGAGGGGTTAGGATATAGGGGGAGTGTGGTCCTATGGGAGGGGTTAGGATATAGGGGGAGTGTGGTCCTATGGAAGGGGTTAGGATATAGGGGGAGTGTGGTCCTATGGGAGGGGTTAGGATATAGGGGGAGTGTGGTGCTATGGAAGGGGTTAGGATATAGGGGGAGTGTGGTCCTATTGGAGGGGTTAGGAGTTAGGGGGAGTGTGGTGCTATGGAAGGGGTTAGGATATAGGGGGAGTGTGGTGCTATGGAAGGGGTTAGGATATAGGGGGAGTGTGGTGCTCTGGGAGGGGTTAGGATATAGGGGGAGTGTGGTGCTATGGAAGGGGTTAGGATATAGGGGGAGTGTGGTGCTATTGGAGGGGTTAGGATATAGGGGGAGTGTAGTGCTGGGTCTTACACTGGGTTGTTGCACTGGCGAGTTCTGAAGCGAACCCCGGTCCCACAGGAGCGGGAACAGGAACCATATTTAGTCCAGGAGCCCCAGGAGCCATCCTGCGTCACCTGGTTGGCATTCTTCCACATGCAGTGACCTTTATAGCACCACTATAGAGGAACCAGAGGACAGTCAGACAGACACAACAACAAGCTGAGCTAATGGTTCCATAGTCATGCATCGTTTAGGAGGAGTTCTCACCTTCCCAGGAGCACACTCAGTCCCGTCCAGGGGAGGGCCTTTCTTGGTCTTGCAGAAGTATGGGTTGTCAGGGTGACTGCACCACAGCTGCTTACACGGGTCAAATGTGCGAAACTGGAAGAAGAAGAGGAAGAAGAAGACATGACCAACAGAACCATTCAGAACCCAAAAGCACCAACAGCACCATTCAGAACCCAACAACACCATACAGAATCCAACAACACCATTCCGAACCCAACAGCACCAACAACACCATTCAGAACCCAACAGCACCAACAACACCATACAGAACCCAACAGCACCAATAACACCATACAGAACACAACAGCACCAACAACACCATTCAGAACCCAACAGCACCAATAACACCATTCAGAACCCAACAGCACCAATAACACCATAAAGAACCCAACAGCACCAATAACACCATACAGAACACAACAGCACCAACAACACCATTCAGAACCCAACAGCACCAATAACACCATTCAGAACCCAACAGCACCAATAACACCATAAAGAACCCAACAGCACCAATAACACCATTCAGAACCCAACAGCACCAACAAAACCATACAGAACCCAACAGCACCAATAACACCATACAGAACCCAACAGCACCAACAACACCATACAGAACCAAACAGCACCAATAACACCATACAGAACCCAACAACACCATGCAGAACCCAACAGAACAAATAACACCATTCAGAACCCAATAGCACCCACAACACCATACAGAACCCAACAGCACCAATAACACCATACAGAACCCAACAGCACCATTCAGAACCCAACAGCACCAATAACACCATTCAGAAACCAACAGCACCAACAACACCATTCAGAAACCAACAGCATCAATAAAACCATTCAGAAACCAACATCAACAATAAGTCAGTCCAACTCCCCTAGAGGAATGACTCCCCTCTATTTAGAGTCAGTCCAATTCCCCTAGAGGAATGACTCCCCTCTATTTAGAGTCAGTCCAACTCCCCTAGAGGAATGACTCCCCTCTATTTAGAGTCAGTCCAACTGCCCCTTAGAGGAATGACTCCCCTCTATTTAGAGTCAGTCCAACTCCCCTAGAGGAATGACTCCCCTCTATTTAGAGTCAATCCAACTCCCCTAGAGGAATGACTCCCCTCTATTTAGAGTCAGTCCAATTCCCCTAGAGGAATGACTCCCCTCTATTTAGAGTCAGTCCAACTCCCCTAGAGGAATGACTCCCCTCTATTTAGAGTCAGTCCAACTCCCCTAGAGGAATGACTCCCCTCTATTTAGAGTCAGTCCAACTCCCCTAGAGAAACGACTCCCCTCTATTTAGAGTCAGTCCAACTCCCTTAGAGGAATGACTCCCCTCTATTTAGAGTCAGTCCAACTCCCCTAGAGGAATGACTCCCCTCTATTTAGAGTCAGTCCAACTCCCCCTTAGAGGAATGACTCCCCTCTATTTAGAGTCAGTCCAACTCCCCCTTAGAGGAATGACTCCCCTGTATTTAGAGTCAGTCCAACTCCACTAGAGGAATGACTCCCCTCTATTTAGAGTCAGTCCAACTCCCCTAGAGGAATGACTCCCCTCTATTTAGAGTCAGTCCAACTCCCCTAGAGGAATGACTCCCCTCTATTTAGAGTCAGTCCAACTCCCATAGAGAAATGTCTCCCCTCTATTTAGAGTCAGTCCAACTCCCTTAGAGGAATGACTCCCCTCTATTTAGAGTCAATCCAATTCCCTTAGAGGAATGACTCCCCTCTATTTAGAGTCAGTCCAACTGCCCCTTAGAGGAATGACTCCCCTCTATTTAGAGTCAGTCCAACTCCCCTAGAGGAATGACTCCCCTCTATTTAGAGTCAGTCCAACTCCCCTAGAGGAATGACTCCCATCTATTTAGAGTCAATCAAACTCCCCTAGAGGAATGACTCCCCTCTATTTAGAGTCAGTCAAACTCCCCTAGAGGAATGACTCCCCTCTATTTAGAGTCAATCCAACTCCCCTAGAGGAATGACTCCCCTCTATTTAGAGTCAGTCCAACTCCCCTAGAGGAATGACTCCCCTCTATTTAGAGTCAGTCCAACTCCCCTAGAGGAATGACTCCCCTCTATTTAGAGTCAGTCCAACTCCCCTAAAGAAATGACTCCCCTCTATTTAGAGTCAGTCCAACTCCCTTAGAGGAATGACTCCCCTCTATTTAGAGTCAGTCCAACTCCCCTAGAGGAATGACTCCCCTCTATTTAGAGTCAGTCCAACTCCCCCTTAGAGGAATGACTCCCCTCTATTTAGAGTCAGTCCAACTCCCCCTTAGAGGAATGACTCCCCTGTATTTAGAGTCAGTCCAACTCCCCTAGAGGAATGATTCCCCTCTATTTAGAGTCAGTCCAACTCCCCTAGAGGAATGACTCCCCTCTATTTAGAGTCAGTCCAACTCCCCTAGAGGAATGACTCCCCTCTATTTAGAGTCAGTCCAACTCCCTTAGAGGAATGACTCCCCTCTATTTAGAGTCAGTCCAACTCCCTTAGAGGAATGACTCCCCTCTATTTAGAGTCAGTCCAACTCCCCCTTAGAGGAATGACTCCCCTCTATTTAGAGTCAGTCCAACTCCCCTAGAGGAATGACTCCCCTCTATTTAGAGTCAGTCCAACTCCCCCTTAGAGGAATGACTCCCCTCTATTTAGAGTCAGTACAACTCCCCTAGAGGAATGACTCTTCTCTATTTAGAGTCAGTCCAACTCCCTTAGAGGAATGACTCCCCTCTATTTAGAGTCAGTCCAACTCCCTTAGAGGAATGACTCCCCTCTATTTAGAGTCAGTACAACTCCCCTAGAGGAATGACTCCCCTCTATTTAGAGTCAGTCCAACTCCCCTAGAGAAACGACTCCCCTCTATTTAGAGTCAGTCCAACTCCCCTAGAGAAATGACTCCCCTCTATTTAGAGTCAGTCCAACTCCCTTAGAGGAATGACTCCCCTCTATTTAGAGTCAGTCCAACTCCCTTAGAGGAATGACTCCCCTCTATTTAGAGTCAGTCCAACTCCCCCTTAGAGGAATGACTCCCCTCTATTTAGAGTCAGTCCAACTCCCCTAGAGGAATGACTCCCCTCTATTTAGAGTCAGTCCAACTCCCCCTTAGAGGAATGACTCCCCTCTATTTAGAGTCAGTACAACTCCCCTAGAGGAATGACTCTTCTCTATTTAGAGTCAGTCCAACTCCCCTAGAGGAATGAAACCTGTCTATTTAGAGTCAGAGTCTAACTCCCCTAGAGGAATGACTCCCCTCTATTTAGAGTCAGTCCAACTCCCCCTTAGAGGAATGACTCCCCTCTATTTAGAGTCAGTCCAACTCCCCTAGAGGAATGACTCCCCTCTATTTAGAGTCAGTCCAACTCCCCTAGAGGAATGACTCCCCTCTATTTAGAGTCAGTCCAACTCCCCTAGAGGAATGACTCTTCTCTATTTAGAGTCAGTCCAACTCCCCTAGAGGAATGAAACCCGTCTATTTAGAGTCAGAGTCTAACTCCCCTAGAGGAATGACTCCCCTCTATTTAGAGTCAGTCCAACTCCCCCTTAGAGGAATGACTCCCCTCTATTTAGAGTCAGTCCAACTCCCCTAGAGGAATGACTCCCCTCTATTTAGAGTCAGTCCAACTCCCCTAGAGGAATGACTCCCCTCTATTTAGAGTCAGTCCAACTCCCCTAGAGGAATGACTCCCCTCTATTTAGAGTCAATCCAACTCCCCTAGAGGAATGACTCCCCTCTATTTAGAGTCAGTCCAACTCCCCTAGAGGAATGACTCCCCTCTATTTAGAGTCAGTCCAACTCCCCTAGAGGAATGACTCCCCTCTATTTAGAGTCAGTCCAACTCCCCCTTAGAGGAATGACTCCCCTCTATTTAGAGTCAGTCAGACTCCCCTAGAAGAATGACTCTTCTCTATTTAGAGTCAGTCCAACTCCCCCTTAGAAGAATGCCTCCCCTCTATTTAGAGTCAGTCCAACTCCCCTAGAGGATTGACTCCACTCTATTTAGAGTCAGTCCAACTCCCTTAGAGGAATGACTCCCCTCTATTTAGAGTCAGTCCAACTCCCCTAGAGGAATGACTCCCCTCTATTTAGAGTCAGTCCAACTCCCCTAGAGGAATGACTCCCCTCTATTTAGAGTCAGTCCAACTCCCCTAGAGGAATGACTCCCCTCTATTTAGAGTCAGTCCAACTCCCCTAGAGAAATGACTCCCCTCTATTTAGAGTCAGTCCAACTCCCTTAGAGGAATGACTCCCCTCTATTTAGAGTCAGTCCAATTCCCCTAGAGGAATGACTCCCCTCTATTTAGAGTCAGTCCAACTCCCCTAGAGGAATGACTCCCCTCTATTAGAGTCAGTCCAATTCCCCTAGAGGAATGACTCCCCTCTATTAGAGTCAGTCCAATTCCCCTAGAGGAATGACTCCCCTCTATTTAGAGTCAGTCCAACTCCCCCTTGGAGGAATGACTCCCCTCTATTAGAGTCAGTCCAACTCCCCCTTAGAGGAATGACTCCCCTCTATTTAGAGTCAGTCCAACTCCCCCTTAGAGGAATGACTCCCCTCTATTTAGAGTCAGTCCAACTCCCCTAGAGGAATGACTCCCCTCTATTAGAGTCAGTCCAATTCCCCTAGAGGAATGACTCCCCTCTATTAGAGTCAGTCCAATTCCCCTAGAGGAATGACTCTTCTCTATTTAGAGTCAGTCCAACTCCCCTAGAGGAATGACTCCCGTATATTTAGAGTCAGTCCAACTCCCTTAGAGGAATGACTCTTCTCTATTTAGAGTCAGTCCAACTCCCCCCTAGAGGAATGACTCCCCTCTATTTAGAGTCAGTCAGACTCCCTTAGAGGAATGACTCCCCTCTATTTAGAGTCAGTCCAACTCCCCTAGAGGAATGACTCCCCTCTATTTAGAGTCAGAGTCTAACTCCCCTAGAGGAATGACTCCCCTCTATTAGAGTCAGTCCAATTCCCCTAGAGGAATGACTCCCCTCTATTAGAGTCAGTCCAATTCCCCTAGAGGAATGACTCTTCTCTATTTAGAGTCAGTCCAACTCCCCTAGAGGAATGACTCCCGTATATTTAGAGTCAGTCCAACTCCCTTAGAGGAATGACTCTTCTCTATTTAGAGTCAGTCCAACTCCCCCCTAGAGGAATGACTCCCCTCTATTTAGAGTCAGTCAGACTCCCTTAGAGGAATGACTCCCCTCTATTTAGAGTCAGTCCAACTCCCCTAGAGGAATGACTCCCCTCTCTTTAGAGTCAGTCCAACTCCCCTAGAGGAATGACTCCCCTCTATTTAGAGTCAGAGTCTAACTCCCCTAGAGGAATGACTCCCCTCTCTTTAGAGTCAGAGTCTAACTCCCCTAGAGGAATGACTCCCCTCTCTTTAGAGTCAGAGTCTAACTCCCCTAGAGGAATGACTCCCCTCTCTTTAGAGTCAGTCTAACTCCCCTAGAGGAATGACTCCCCTCTATTTAGAGTCAGAGTCTAACTCCCCTAGAGGAATGACTCCCCTCTATTTAGAGTCAGAGTCTAACTCCCCAACTCTCATCTCAACTTCAGAGTCACTTTATGATGCATCACTGTATCAGTAGTGGCTGCAGGCGTTTATAATCAGTATTTCACATCCTGGTCTCTCTCTTTTTGCCTTCTCTAGTCTCCTCTAGTCTTCAGCTGGCTAATTCTGTAGAAAATAATAAATGAACAGTTGAACTCAGTAAATAATGATTGAGATCTGATTCCTCTGGAGTGTGGTCGCCAGACACTATGGAGCTCGATAAGAAACAAACAAACACTGTTCATCAGGTCTCAGGAATGAAAAACATCAACAAAACAGCAAAGAATGAGTCCAAGTTCAGAGTGGCACAGAGCAGAGAGCTCTGTCAGTCTGGATTTTTATTTCCAGGGACCACCCATGGACCACGCAGGGACCACCCAGGACAACAATGCACCAACCTCACCAATAGTAATAAAATGTATGTACGCATGACTAAGTCGCTTTGGATAGAAGTGTCTGCTAAATGGCATACAGTGAGCAAAAAAAGTATTTGATCCCCTGCTGATTTTGTATGTTTGCCCACTGACAAAGACATGATTAGTCTATAATTTTATTGGTAGGTTTATTTGAACAGTGAGAGACAGAATAACAACAAGAAAAACAGAAAAACACATGTCAAAAATGTTATAAATTGATTTGCATTTTAATGAGGGAAATAAGTATTTGACCCCTCTGCAAAACATGACTTAGTACTTGGTGGCAAAACCCTTGTTGGCAATCACAGAGGTCAGACGTTTCTTGTAGTTGGCCACCAGGTTTGCACACATCTCAGGAGGGATTTTGTTCCACTCCTCTTTGCAGATCTTCTCCAAGTCATTAAGGTTTCGAGGCTGACGTTTGGCAACTCGAACCTTCAGCTCACTCCACATATTTTCTATGGGATTAAGGTCTGGAGACTGGCTAGGCCACTCCAGGACCTTAATGTGCTGCTTCTTGAGCCACTCCTTTGTTGCCTTGGTCGTGTTTTTTGGGTCATTGTCATGCTGGAATACCCATCCACAACCCATTTTCAATGCCCTGGCTGAGGGAAGGAGGTTCTCACCCAAGGTTTGACGGTACATGGCCCCGTCCATCGTCCCTTTGATGCGGTGAAGTTGTCCTGTCCCTTTAGCAGAAAAACACCCCCAAAGCATAATGTTTCCACCTCCATGTTTGATGGTGGGGATGGTGTTCTTGGGGTCATAGGCAGCATTCCTCCTCCTCCAAACACGGCGAGTTGAGTTGATGCCAAAGAGCTCCATTTTGGTCTCATCTGACCACAACACTTTCACCCAGTTCTCCTCTGAATCATTCAGATGTTCATTGGCAAACTTCAGACGGCCCTGTATATGTGCTTTCTTAAGCAGGGGGACCTTGCGGGCGCTGCAGGATTTCAGTCCTTCACGGCGTAGTGTGTTACCAATTGTTTTCTTGGTGACTATGGTCCCAGCTGCCTTGAGATCATTGACAAGATCCTCCCGTGTAGTTCTGGGCTGATTCCTCACCGTTCTCATGATCATTCCAACTCCACGAGGTGAGATCTTGCATGGAGCCCCAGGCCGAGGGAGATTGACAGTTCTTTTCTGTTTCTTCCATTTGCGAATAATCGCACCAACTGTTGTCACCTTCTCACCAAGCTGCTTGGCGATGGTCTTGTAGCCCATTCCAGCCTTGTGTAGGTCTACAATCTTGTCCCTGCCATCCTTGGAGAGCTCTTTGGTCTTGGCCATGGTGGAGAGTTTGGAATCTGATTGATTGATTGCTTCTGTGGACAGGTGTCTTTTATACAGGTAACAAACTGAGATTAGGAGCACTCCCTTTAAGAGTGTGCTCCTAATCTCAGATCGTTACCTGTATAAAAGACACCTGGGAGACAGAAATCTTTCTGATTGAAAGGGGGTCAAATACATATTTCCCTCATTAAAATGCAAATCAATTTATAACATTTTTGACATGTGTTTTTCTGTAATTTGATTTATTTATTCTGTCTCTCACTGTTCAAATAAACCTACCATTAAAATCATAGACTGATCATTTCTTTGTCAGTTGGCAAACGTACAAAATCAGCAGGGGATCAAATACTTTTTTCCCCTCACTGTATATTAATTGCCACAATGTCTTCAGATCTATCTTATTAGCATTGACGCTGGATAGTTTATCTCCTCTAATCTCCTTACTGGTACCATTTCCCTGATAAACAGACACAATATACACTGTATATACAGCAGTATGTGGACAACCCTTCAAATTAGTGGATTTGGCTATTTCAGCCACACTCGTTGCTGACATGTGTATAAAATCGAGCACACAGCCATGCAATCTCCATAGACAAACACTGGCAGTAGAATGGCCTTACTAAAGAGCTCAGTAATTTTCAACGTGGCACCGTCATAGGATGCCACCTTTCCAACAAGTCAGTTCATTGAATTTCTGCTCTGCTAGAGCTGCCCCGGTCAACTGTAAGTGCTGTTATTGTGAAGTGGAAATGTCTAGAAGCAACAACGGCTCAGCTGAGAAGTGGTAGGCCACACAAGCTCACAGAACGGGACTGCCAAGTGATGAAGCGCGTAGTGTGTAATAATCGACTGTCCTCGGTTGCAACCCTCACTACCGAGTTCCAAACTGCCTCTGGAAGCAACGTCAGCACAATAACTGTTCGTCAGGAGCTTCATGAAATGGGTTTCCATGGCCGAGCAGCGGCACACAAGCCTGAGATCACCATGCGCAATGCCAAGCATCAGCTGGAGTGGTGTAAAGCTCGCCGCCATTGGACTCTGGAGCAGTGGAAACGCAATCTCTGGAGTGATGAATCACGCTTCACCATCTGGCAGTCCAACGGATGAATCTGGGTTTAACGGATGCCAGGATAACGCTACCTGCCCCAATGCATTGTGCCAACTGGTAGTCCCCTGTAGCTCAGTTGGTAGAGCATGGCACTTGCAACGCCAGGGTTGTGGGTTCGTTTCCCACGGGGGGCCAGTATGAAAATGCATGCACTCACTAACTGTAAGTCTCTCTGGATAAGAGCGTCTGCTAAATGACTAAAATGTACAGCATGGTGAAGGAATAATGGTCTGGGGCTGTTTTTCATGGGTCTGGCTAGGCCCCTTAGTTCCAGTGAAGGGAAATCTTAACGTTACAGCATACAATGACATTCTAGACGATTCTGCGCTTCCAACTTTGTGTCAACAGTTTGGGGAGAGCCCTTTCCTGTTTCTGCATGAGAATGCACCCGTGCACAAAGCGAGGTCCATACAGAAATGGTTTGTCAAGATCGGTGTGGAAAACCTTGACTGGCCTGCACAGAGCCATGACCTCAACTCCATCGAACACCTTTGGGATGAATTGGAAGCCAAACTGCGAGCCAGACCTATTCGCCCAACATCAGTGCCCGACCTCACTAATGCTCTCTTCTGGGTCAATCTAATGGAAAGTCTTCCCAGAAGAGTGGAGGCTGTTATAGCAGTAAAGGAGGGAGCAACTCATGTGTATTTCCTTCCAACACATTTAGCAGCATTTCTCTGCTCTTCAAAGGGATATATGATCGGAAGGGAGTCCTCTCTCTCTCTCACTGAGAGAATGAGCTATGAGCTAAAGAACGACGAGGAGAGAGACTAGCGAGAGTCGAGATACGAGAGAGAGAGTCGAGAGCGATGCAGATCAGAGCGGAGCGGACGGAGAGAGAATGATCGAGCAAGCAGATAGAACCGGTACTAGCATCATCTCTGCTCTCGACTCTCTCTCTCTCTCTCTCTCGCATCTCTCTCTCTCTCTCTCTCTCTCTCTCTCCTCTCTCTCTCTCTTCTCTCTCTCTCTCTCTCTCTCTCTCTCTCAATTAAATTCAATTTCTCTCTCTCTCTATGTTTGCGACCAAACTTACGGATGTGCAGATTTTGTATCCGACTCCGAAGTCGAAGCGACACTGTTCGTCCATGGAGTAGTTGATTCCTGGCAGCTCCGGCAGCTGGGGCCAGTCGTGTTTGAACGGGTCGTCCAGGAGACAGTCGTACGAACTACGAGACACAAGAAGATATTGAAGAGTTTCATTTCATTTTCAGAAATGTTGGTAAATTAGCTTTTATTGTTTCACACAAGAACTGCTGGGCCTCGAGGGACAAGATTAGGAGCAGTCATTCTGACTGCAACATTCTAAAAACATTCATGAACACATTCATGCAGGTGCTAGGTAACATTAGAATACACATTATTTTAATGTAAAACAAATAAAAAAATGTCAACCGTTCAATAAATGATATTAGTGGAGTTCCTTTGTTACAACTATGGAACAGAAACCATGTGTGTTGGAACACGGTAGCAAAGATGGATGCAGTCAGCAAAACAGTAGCCTGAACATCATTATAAAGCACCAAGTGCTCATAATAGCCCCTATGCCAGACTCATGATGAAGGCCCTCCTGGAGCCCGTATGAAGTCTCTCCTGTAGCCCGTATGAAGTCTCTCCTGGAGCCCGTATGAAGTCTCTCCTGTAGCCCGTATGAAGTCTCTCCTGTAGCCCGTATGAAGTCTCTCCTGGAGCCCGTATGAAGTCTCTCCTGGAGCCCGTATGAAGTCTCTCCTGGAGCCCGTATGAAGTCTCTCCTGTAGCCCGTATGAAGTCTCTCCTGGAGCCCGTATGAAGTCTCTCCTGTAGCCCGTATGAAGTCTCTCCTGTAGCCCGTATGAAGTCTCTCCTGGAGCCCGTATGAAGTCTCTCCTGTAGCCCGTATGAAGTCTCTCCTGTAGCCCGTATGAAGTCTCTCCTGTTGCCCGTATGAAGTCTCTCCTGGAGCCCGTATGAAGTCTCTCCTGTAGCCCGTATGAAGTCTCTCCTGTAGCCCGTATGAAGTCTCTCCTGGAGCCCGTATGAAGTCTCTCCTGTAGCCCGTATGAAGTCTCTCCTGTAGCCCGTATGAAGTCTCTCCTGGAGCCCGTATGAAGTCTCTCCTGTAGCCCGTATGAAGTCTCTCATGTAGCCCGTATGAAGTCCCTCATGTAGCCCGTATGAAGTCTCTCCTGTAGCCAATTTGAAGTCTCTCCTGTAGCCCGTATGAAGTCTCTCCTGTAGCCCGTATGAAGTCTCTCCTGGAGCCCGTATGAAGTCTCTCCTGGACATGTTGTTGTTGATTCACTGCTTGAACAACATGTGTGAGTTGATATCAGCCACGTCAAGCATGTTGTAGAACACAGCAACAGGCCAGAGGAGGGGGCCTCCTTTCACAGTACAGGCATGTTGTAGAACACAGCAACAGGCCAGAGGAGGGGGCCTCCTTTCACAGTACAGGCATGTTGTAGAACACAGCAACAGGCCAGAGGAGGGTGCCTCCTTTCACAGTACAGGCATGTTGTAGAATACAGCAACAGGCCAGAGGAGGGGGCCTCCTTTCACAGTACAGGCATGTTGTAGAACACAGCAAACAGGCCAGAGGAGGGGGCCTCCTTTCACAGTACAGGCATGTTGTAGAACACAGCAACAGGCCAGAGGAGGGGGCCTCCTTTCACAGTACAGGCATGTTGTAGAACACAGCAACAGGCCAGAGGAGGGGGCCTCCTTTCACAGTACAGGCATGTTGTAGAACACAGCAACAGGCCAGAGGAGGGGGCCTCCTTTCACAGTACAGGCATGTTGTAGAATACAGCAACAGGCCAGAGGAGGGGGCCTCCTTTCACAGTACAGGCATGTTGTAGAACACAGCAACAGGCCAGAGGAGGGGGCCTCCTTTCACAGTACAGGCATGTTGTAGAACACAGCAACAGGCCAGAGGAGGGGGCCTCCTTTCACAGTACAGGCATGTTGTAGAACACAGCAACAGGCCAGAGGAGGGGGCCTCCTTTCACAGTACAGAAATTCTGAAAGAGATTGGTGTCTTTTTTCACTATCTAATCATGGCATGGGGTTGTTCAACGACATATGTATTTGTTTGAAATCTATCACTTGATGGTTTCATTTCAGAGAGACAAATGATCATGTTTCTTTTAGCAAAATGCTTTATATCAGCCTCCTTCTCAGAGAAATAAGTAGTACTGCTAGGGTTTACCAATAACTGGATATACGAATGGACAAAGCCATTGATCAGGTAACATCATTCATTCCTATGTAAAGACTCAATTGCGCATTGAAGCCAAATGAAGTTGGTTAAGATGGCGTGTCATGGAGACATAACCAGGCCCCCAGTGTCCGGTCTGGAGTGTGAACTCATGAATTCTACTGGCTGGCTACTGCATGGCAACCTGGCGGTGCAAAAATCTGTGGTCTGCCCCAGAAAGCCTAAGTAAATTACAATCGCCAGAGAGGCCCCAAAGATTTTGGGAGATGGCCGTTTTGCGCTCTAAAATAAGTTTATTATGATCAAGTTCAGTACCCACAGTGAATTATTTTAAAGTTCACTACAAATGGAGATGTTTAACACTAGAACCACCTGGCCTTTCAGCCTATCAGTACCCTCTAGAGAATGTTGCCGGACGACACCCTTTAGCATCAGATGCATATCTAACCCTAACCCACAAGGTGCCGCAAACATAAGCACCAACACTTGATAAATAGTGCATCAACTATTATAAAGGATTAATTACATGAAGACATTTTAATCTAAATATATCCAGTAAAAAAATGACAATAGTAATTTGTTTAGATAGAGTCAAGGATATGTTTTGTGTAATTCTACAAAATCCTAGAAAAAACATCGGCCTATATCCTATTTCAGTTTCCCTTAACAATAAAAACCTTACAGTGTCATCCATTTGATCAACTTTATTTGTAGATTTGATTAGTAACAGAGTTATAGTAATTAATAAAGTCCAGTTACTGCTTCTTTTGACAAAGTAGAAACTAAATATAATAATAATATAAGCAGCCAGGTCACAGGTGAAATGACTTGCTGTATTCCTAAACAAAAGTACCAGCACATGAACAATTTTAAAGGATGAATTGCATATTGCATGAATTAAAATATTTGTGGAAATATATTGATTGTATCAGACACTGTGCCTTTACACCCGTGCCTTTAAACATTAATCAATCTCATCTTCTCTTTATGTTTGGGGTCCACAGTCTGCACACAGCTTCTGGGCTTTGTGTGAGCAAACCCCACAAACAAATCGTTTGCACTGCACACAGTTTTCATGGGCCTTGTTTTGTGTGCACCTGCCGACTTAACATTAGGTCTTCTGTTCCCCAGTGGGAGCTGTGGTGCTTGGGGAGGATGGAGAGCAGGACCTGCTGCCTTGACATTGGGTCTTGTGTCTCCTGAGTGGCGCAGTGGTCTAAGGCACTGCATCGCAGTGCTAACTGTGCCACTAGAGATCCTGGTTCGAATCCAGGCTCTGTCGCAGCCGGCCGCGACCGGGAGACTCATGGGCGGCGCACAATTGGCCCAGCGTCGTCCAGGGTAGGGGAGGGAATGGCCGGCAGGGATGTAGCTCAGTTGATAGAGCATGGTGTTTGCAACGCTAGGGTTGTGGGTTCGATTCCCACGGGGGGCCAGTATAAAAAATAAAAAAAATGCTAGACCACCGTATTCACTAACTGTAAGTCGCTCTGGATAAGAGCGTCTGCTAAATGACTAAAATGTAAATGTAAATGTCTTCTGTTCCCCAGTGGGAGCTGTGGTGCTTGGGGAGGAGGGAGAGCAGGACCTGCTGCCTTGACATTGGGTCTTCTGTTCCCCAGTGGGAGCTGTGGTGCTTGGGGAGGATGGAGAGCAGGACCTGCTGCCTTGACATTGGGTCTTCTGTTCCCCAGTGGGAGCTGTGGTGCTTGGGGAGGATGGAGAGCAGGACCTGCCGACTTAACATTGTGTCTTCTGTTCCCCAGTGGGAGCTGTGGTGCTTGGGGAGGATGGAGAGCAGGACCTGCTGCCTTGACATTGGGTCTTCTGTTCCCCAGTGGGAGCTGTGGTGCTTGGGGAAGAGGGAGAGCAGGACCTGCTGCCTTGACATTGGGTCTTCTGTTCCCCAGTGGGAGCTGTGGTGCTTGGGGAAGAGGGAGAGCAGGACCTGCTGCCTTGACATTGGGTCTTCTGTTCCCCAGTGGGAGCTGTGGTGCTTGGGGAGGAGGGAGAGCAGGACCTGCTGCCTTGACATTGGGTCTTCTGTTCCCCAGTGGGAGCTGTGGTGCTTGGGGAAGAGGGAGAGCAGGACCTGCTGCCTTGACATTGGGTCTTCTGTTCCCCAGTGGGAGCTGTGGTGCTTGGGGGAAGAGGGAGAGCAGGACCTGCTGCCTTGACATTGGGTCTTCTGTTCCCCAGTGGGAGCTGTGGTGCTTGGGGAAGAGGGAGAGCAGGACCTGCTGCCTTGACATTGGGTCTTCTGTTCCCCAGTGGGAGCTGTGGTGCTTGGGGAAGAGGGAGAGCAGGACCTGCTGCCTTGACATTGGGTCTTCTGTTCCCCAGTGGGAGCTGTGGTGCTTGGGGAAGAGGGAGAGCAGGACCTGCTGCCTTGACATTGGGTCTTCTGTTCCCCAGTGGGAGCTGTGGTGCTTGGGGAAGAGGGAGAGCAGGACCTGCTGCCTTGACATTGTGTCTTCATTTCTAATCACCCCATATATTCTAATTACACAGTGCCTTCGAAAAGTATTCAGACCCAATTACCTTTTCCACATTTTGTTACGTTCCAGCCTTATTCTAAAATGGATAAAATCGTTTTTCCCCCTCATCAATCTACACACAATACCCCATAATGACAAAGCAAATCTATTAAAAACAAAAAACATTAAAATTACATTTACATAAGTATTCAGATCCTTTACTCAGTACTTTGTTGAAGCACCTTTGGCAGCGATTACAGCCTCGAGTCTTCTTGAGTATGACGCTACAAGCTTGGCACACCTGTATTTGGGGAGTTTCTCCCATTCTTCTCTGCAGATCCTCTCAAGCTCTGTCAGGTTGGATAGGGAGCATTGCTGCACAGCTATTTTCAGGTCTCTCCAGAGATGTTAGAT